TTAAATATTAAGATCCCCTGAGACACAGTGTCGTGAAAAAAAAAAAAAAAGTACCCGCCGACGGGGACCTTGGGGCTTAACAGGTTAACTTTAGCAGAAGAGCGTTTAATAACAGCCATTTTTCCCATTAAAGTAAAATCCATAGACTTGTAAAAAAAAGAGCAATTCAACAAAGTATTTCCACATGGCACCCTTGTAACCTTTAATCAAGTATAATCACTTAACATGTTACAAATACAGTTCCTTTAGTTCTGCAGTTGTGCTGATATGAAGGAGTAAATATAATACACGGTAGTTTGCCATAATACTCATTGTCCTAAGTGTTTTAGTTTTTTAGCTTTTACGGTTATTTGTATAGTAACATTTACATTTGGTGTAAATATTTGTCTTTAACATCCTTTTTTAATGCTAAATTGTTTCTTAAAAATGCTTATTTTGTATTATCCTTATATAGATTTGTTTTTTTTCTACCTACTTATGTTCGCACCACCAGATACCTGAGCAAATTCCTTGTTTGTGTATTCTGTGTACTCTGATTGCTATAATACAGCCTGTATTGACCGTGCGCGCGTGTGTGTGTGTGTGTGTGTGTGTGTGTGTGTGTGTGTGTGTGTGTGTGTGTGTGTGTGTTCGTGTTCGTGTTCTCACAGGTGGCTCGTGAGGCTCATTTCTCCGGGCAGAGCTACCTGGACTTGGCTCTGACAAACATCCCCAGCCTCAGGGACAACTTCTACGCCAGCTTCAGCTTCAGGACGGATCAGAAGGAGGGACTCATGTTCTACCACCACGATAAGGTCAGCCGAGCCTCATATCTCCTCCTATTTCCTCTGTCATTTCTCTGATTTTATTTATTTAAACTAAACAGCTGTTCTTTCTTGCTAATAACATTTGAGGTGTTTTCTTTCTCCTGCTTTGGTCTTGTGGACTTCCAAGTGTCCTCTCCTTACACGTTGTGTTCTAACCTGTTATGTGTGTGTGTACAGGTTGGAGTGTGTCAGGTGTTTCTGCACGAGGGCCACGTCGTCGTGAGAGCTGGAAACAGTGAGATAAAGACGCTGAAGACGTACAACGATGACAACAGCCACTACATCTCTGTCTACAACAACAACAAAGGGTAGGAGGACTGACGTTGAATGATGTAGAATTAAGCTCTCGGCTGTTTGTTCCAAATGTCAACATGGTGCCTTCAAACGTTGTCCTAACCTTGTTGTAAAGTACCAGCATGCACCTCTCACACTGTCTGACTGTCGTCCTCCAGGATGCGTCTGTACATGGACGATTCCATCGAGAAAGCGAAGGAGAACCGGATGGAGAGAAGAGCGGGGGTGGTGACGTCCACAGAGGGAACAACCTTCCTCGGAGGAACGCCCAACCAAAGCCTCACCAACCTCACCGGATGCATCAGCAACGTTTTCATCAAGAGGTACCATGTCGTGAAAGAGGGGAAACCTTCTTATTGCAGTCGTCATTAATATCTCGTAACATTTTGAGGGCTCCTACCTCAAGTGTTATCCTCCAAAAGTGGCTTTTAAAAAGAATTATAGTGTATATGAAAGTGATAATGAAACAAAAACCAGGGGAAATTACTATAGAAATTCTCCTGGAAAGTAAACATGAAATTTAAGTTATCTTGTTTGCAGTTGTTATTATTTGTTATGGCTTCTTACTCCAGTTGTAACCCCCAAAATCACATATGTTTATTTGTTGTGATGGTATAGTATTAATCTGTACCCCTACATATAAACTATTGATAGATCTTTTAGTTTATATATGTATAATGTCTTTGAAGCTCTTACAGAAGTATAGGAATATTTTTTGACACTTTGCTTTAATATAATCTTTTGTTGAGTATATTTTTTGTTTGTGTGTCTTTCAGGGACACCGATACTCAGATGGTTTTGAACCTGTTTAAAGTGAAAGAAAATGTCAACGTTCCTATGGACTGTCCCGCTGCCAAAAAACCTCAGCAGATCGTCTCCTCTCCGCCCAAACAGAGCAACAAACCCAAGGTACACACACACACACACGCACGCACACACACACACACACACACACACACACACACACACACACACACACACACACACATACACACACACACACACACACACTAAATTAAAGAAAAACAGACGAANTGTGTGTGAAAGTTTGGGGCTCTCTGCTGGAACTGCTACCTCCGCGACCCGACCACGGATAAGCGGGAGAAGATGGATGGATGGATGGATCAGGACAAAAAGTGAGCAACTTTTGTGTCCTGAAACTTTCAGAATCTCTTCACACAGAGGGGACACATGTTTATGAAAAAGAGGATTTTGCATAATAGGTGACCTCTAAGTCGCCCTGCCCTGTTTATCTGTCTGTCATTTGGGATGGCATTAGAGCCTGCTGTGTGTGTAGTCCAGTGTTGGGCTCGTTGGCAAGTCACAACCAAGTCAGATAAACGTAGGTCATATGCTCTGCTGTAGCATACTCTGTCGTTACTGCTGTAAAAATGTTACACAAATTGTGTTTGACCATCACAACCCCCCCGAAAATGACCAGTTTCAAAATCATAATTTGATCAATTTGATTTCATAACCACATTTTTTTTTCTTCAGTAAGTAAGATAGGCAAAAATGTAAAATGTGTGCCTTTTTTTTTTTAAAGATAATAAAATAAGTAACAATAACTTGTGTTGTTGTTCATTCTGGATTATAATCAAACGAGTGTATTTGTATTATATGTATGTGTATGTGTATTTGTATTTAAGGGACCAATTACAGGGACATATCTATACAGTATGAACACTCGACTGAATGTCTTACTGTGCATATGTAATCAACTCTTGCCTGAACCAGTGCATAAGTCCACGCTATTTTCTTTATCATTACTCCCCTAGGTGTGCTCAACAAATTGCGATGATCTAAGAGTGTCTTTAGTCATGACGCCTCTGGGAAACATCCCTTAAGGTTCATAAATTGAGATTTACTGCATGTAACAGACTTTTCTAGGTGGTTACATGGTTACATCTTATTTTACAAACCTATAGATGGTATAGTTAGAGGTATAATCTAAGTAACCGAAGGCCTCTCAAATGACATTATACATGAAATATACAGTATATCATATATATGAAATTATCATCCCACAATTTTCCCATTATATTCCATTGCAGCCCTTTTTAAGAGAATAAACCCCATCACCGATGTCCCTAACCATCTGTTTTCTAAACGCCATTCATTTTAACCTTCCCTTGTCCGTTTTTAAAGGTCACCCAAGTGTTGAATACAAAACAAAAGTCAATCAGTTAATACTAATTATCCTGATCTAGAGTGCAATGCAGAGAAGCATTGTTAAGAAGAGCAGGTTATAGAAACCACTGACATTTGCTGTGCTGTACCTGACACGGGAACATGCCACCAGCTGATGGGAGTCTATTTTCTTGTCCGTCCAACATCCTCTTTCCTTTCACGAAAAACTCTTCAATCAATTCCCAACAAACAACAAACTTCCTGGACGAAATATAGACCAAAGTGTTTGGTGTTTGGAGTTGGTGTATATTTTTAATAATGTATTAGGGTGCACACATTTTTTGTTTACTTCAAATTGTATTTATAAAGTATCTGTGGATCATTGTCTTTGTTTCTGAGCAACTAGGGTTCCTAAAGACCGAAGCAGTACTTTGTTAAGAAAGAAAGAACAATTAGATGGAACATATCTGGATATGCTTCCACAATGATCATCTACACAGATTAAAAAACATTTTTGGACAGCGAGCACAGTTTTTAAAAAGAATGCCCTTGGGTTTGGTGTATACGGTAGCAAGTTATTTCCTTGCAAATTCTGTTTCAACAGAAAAACATTCATTTTTAATGCATGACGTTTAAACTCTCAAATTACCACTGGAATGAACATCCGCAAATATTGCTTTGTAAACTGCAGCACATAATAATCTCTTCCAACTAAATCAATGTTATCAACTTGGAAAGTTGTCCACTAAAATGTCATGTTTATGTCTTTCCTATATCCACATGTTACACACTCTCACCTCCTTGAGGCTAAAGAGTGACACTCAAAATCAGTTTGACAACGAAGATGCTATACTTTTACAACCCACAATCTGTCTGCTGTTTGGATATAGAACATTGTGGAGAAAATCCATTATTCCTGAAGCACAACTCTCAACAAGTCACTCTTCCTCTTCCTAACACTCGGGGAACATTAGCAGGAAGGCTTGAAGTCACATATCCCGGGTGTATATCTCTGATGGGCCAAATCTTACCTGAAGCACCTTTTAGCAAGACTCCAATTTGTGCTTTCCGAATTATATTTCATCATTCAGAAAGCCTTGAATCTCTGAACAGTATTCAATGTGTCCCTTTTCGCATGTGGTCTATAGATCACTCAATGTCTAACGTTCTGTCTAAAACACCTGATTGTACAAAAAAAAGCATCCCCTGCATGTGGGGGCCAAAGAAAGAGGCAAAGGCTAGGGAAAACAGTGTTTTATGCTTACATAATTGGAAACCTGCTTTCATCCCTGAATGAATAACCAATTTAACTGCAACCCGTGTCACACAGCGATAATTACCTCAATCCATTTAGAGACAGATCTTTAGCTCAGCCTACAGCCAGTTCCTTGAATTTACTTTGCAAGGAATACTCACTTTTGATTTTGGATCTCTTTTCATCAGGATGGAGCCTTCCATTGAATATGAGGTCCCAGCCCCCCAAAAATGTAATTGGCTCATGGTATTCTGCTGAGTCACAGCAGCTGGAGGGGAAATGTGGACCTGAATGTATGTGTGTACAGTATGTGTCTGGATTGCAAATGATGTGTACTGTAGGTAAAGAATGATTGACAGATGCACCTTAAGAGCAAGCAGCCTTTCCTCTATGTCACAGTTCATAGTAGTGTACACATGTTTTTGCACAAATAAGTCACCAGGCCTTGGCTACTTCTCAGATTTGTTCCATAAGCAGTTTGAGTCCAGTCTGTGGGCAGGATCAGCAGAGGGTGTTCAAAAGCCCAGTGTGCAAACCCAACGATGAGTAAGCACTGCTACTATTGCTCTTGACATATCTGACAGATTTTCTACAGTAATACAGAGCTGCAGTTTCATCTCAAGGGTTTATGAATTGAGACAGATTCGGGGAGTGATTCAAAACTGTCATTATTAAGTCCTCAATTCAATCTGCTTCGATTCAGCGGGGCCGCCTTGGACAGCGGTTCTACGAGACACAATCAGGAAATTATTCCATCGAACGTAGTCGTGCAAGGTGCATTCAGAAGATTAGTGTATGTTGCAAAGGACAGTGTTGGTACTGAGTAGGCTACATGTGAAATGAAGAATGCAAAGAGATGGAGGTTTTAAATAAAATGAAGGATTTGCAAGTCAGTTTAGAAAGGTGGGAGGGAAGTGGTTTCACCTCCAGAATAGCTGATATATTCATGCACCACCGTGATGAGAATTTATATTATACTACTGCAGTGCTAACAGCAAAGTCTTCTGTTCCAGGTAATGTGTGTCTGCAGGTCTGTGTATGCCTTGACTGCATATTATGATTCTATAGAGTCTGTGATGTGAATGTGAATGGTGTGCGTGCGTGCGTGCGTGTGTCTAGTTAAACATGGACGTCCATATGGTGAGCTGAATACTATAACTGCTATGAAGACATGGTGAGATTAAATTTTTTTATTCATGCATAGAAATTAGAATATACGTTTACGGTGTTTTCATTAATTTGTATTATTTTTAATCAAACACCAGCTGTTTGAGAGCAAGTGGTACCTTCCACACACACTCCATTGAGTTTAGGAGCTAGAAAATGGAGAAGAAAACTTCCTTTACAATGTAATTTGCCCTGAAAAGTAATTGCTGCGAGTAGCTGAACAATGACATCAATTTTGAAGCCAATCTCTAGTTTGGGTCTCATCTAAAACAAAACATTCAAAAAAGCTTCCATTTTATGGACAGGTAGATTTAGATAATGGAGTAGCCTATAGTTCAGTAACCATCCAAGAAAAGTAGGTCTTTGCTATTTCACCTTTCAAAGTAAAGAACAGTATGCCAATAGTGTTGTTCAAACAAGTGATAATGTGTTAAACAATGCCGATAAATGAATGTCATACGTTACATATTTAAAAGACGACAATGCTCTGAGCACTGAATGGAAATGGCCTTCATGCTTGCAAGGTCTTGAGTGACATACTAAATCTAATTTAAAAACGCACCCATGCTGATACGGCCCTCGGGGTTACATACTCTAATAGTTGTGTGGGAATATTGCATTCCTTGGCAATAAAGTGTCATAAATCATGGCTCATAGATGCTGTGTCAGGTGTTAATCCCCTGGTATTCCAGCCACACACAGTCTGCATGTCTGCTTCACTAAATGGCCAGTGGGGTTAGCTGAGAAGTATACGTATATGAGCTCAGATGTAAAAACTGATGAGTAATAGTGCTTTAATGGGGTTGAGCAGAGATGACATCTTCACGCATGAAGAAACTTCAAAGCCATATTTGGTGAGTCACCACTGATGCCCTCTTAGAGTGGTTTTCTGGAGTTCTTAAATTAGCTGAGATATATTAAAGTCCTATCTACACATGTGTGATTAACATATTTTCATCTACCACGCTGAATATTATTCGAAGTTCATTTCTTTTACAGAGCAGCGCACAGTGCATATCTATTTACTAATTCCACATAATTGGTTCTGTTCTCTGTGCTATTCTGAGATGCATACATTTATTTGATACTAATGCATATCTGAAAATATCTTGATTAGTCGTAACATTATGGGCTGCCATGGAAACCTCATCTTCCAGTTTTGAAGTAGCGTGTGTAAAGATAAATGGGAACTAAGAAACATCCAGCATCACTGAGGCTCAGAGATCATTTCTCACTTTGAAGTGTGTCGTGGGCCTGAGCCTGCAGTTGGTGTTGACACAGTCTCAGAGCAAACAAAATCTGGGCCATTATGTATTTAATGATGGAAGAGGAGGTAGAGCTCTCCCACCCCAAGAGA